CATGAAAATGGAATTTTGGTGAAAATTCCTTAAGGTTGTAAAATGGCTTGTCCCACATTGATTTGGTAGGAGGTTTTGAATGGGTTTATAAGGCTTGGGTTTGGTACTTGGGGTGTGCCCCAAAGGGTACCCAAGTGTTTTAGAGGGAGAGGTTATAGGCAAAATAGGCTAGACCCATTGGGCCCAAAAATCACCACACGCGCACGCCATCGTCTGTTCGAGCTGGCTTGGGCCCAATACTAATCTTTTTGAGCAAAAAACATTTGAATTTATTTTTATTTTGTTAAAATAAAATCCAGAATTCAAATTAAACCGGAATAAACTGGTTTGGTTTTACTGTACATCTAAACAGGGTCCTTCCTCAAATAAACTAATGTACATCCAAACAGGGCCCTTTTCCGTTTTTGTATCTGTTTAAATATGAACCCAATAGATTCAAATCTGTTTGAATTTAAAACCAACAGGTTTCATACATGTTCAATTCAAAACCAATAGCCACCTTTACATCTATAAATAGACTAGCCTCCCATTTGGATTTCACTCCAATTTTCGTACTCCATCCTCTGCAAATTATATTCTTCATCTTGCTGTATTTTATTTCCGAAAGAAATAGTATAAACACTTAGTGTGTTCGTAAGGCAAACAATTTGTAGTGCTGCTATTGTTTGTAGTAGATCATTTCATCCTGGGAGATAGACGTCCAATTTCTGAAAGCAACCGTGGAGAAGACGAATCTGTCTTAAGGACACAGTGTCAAACACTGGACTTGATCAGATTATAATTCGAAGAAATTAAATCAAGTGAGTTATTTAATTTATTTCCAGCCTTTTATTATTTATTTAAATCAGATTTTAATTTTGTTTTTGTAATAAAATAAAATATGTTTTTATTTATTTATTTATATTTTTATTTCGAGTTTGATTTTTGTAATCAAACAAATTTTTTCCTTTCCTTTAATTCTTTATATTCTAGCTGTTGTTTAATACACAACAGAATTTAATTAATTTAAATACAGTGAAGATTATCTAACATTAATTACAATTTCAAAATTCCTAATCTCCAATTTTAACACAAATCAAAATCCTTAAATTTAACACAAATAACAATAAATCAAAATTCCTAATTTTAGTACAAATCACAACAAATCAAAATCTCTAATTTTTATATAAATCACCGCTAATCAAATCCCTAATTTTAGTATAAATTAAATCCGTAATTTTAGTACAAATCACCACAAATTAAATCCCTAATTTTAGTACAAATCACAACAAATCAAAACCCTAAATTTCATATAACTCACTACAAATTAAGATTCCTAATTTTATTGTTAATTTTAAATCCCTAGCAAATCAAAAACCCTAATTTTAATGTAAACCACCACAAATCAAGATTCTTAGTTTTAGCATATCAAAATCTCTAATTTTAACATAAATAATCACAAATAAATCTTTTTCTAAATTTAACAAATCAAAACATATCATTTTAATCACAAATAACATAAATCAATACATTTATTTTTCATTTAAGAGCAAAAGATTAGAGAGTGAGATTACTAGTAAATAATGGAGAGAAAAGACTGAGAGTTGTAGTGTGGTCCCCTGTGTGGTGTGGTCCTGATTTGCCGTGTCGAAGCAGCAGTTAGTCAAAGAATCGAAAGGAAGACTGCAGCAGTTAGTCAAAGAATCGAAAGGAAGACTACAGCAGTAACAGAAAAAGCGTGTATTTGGTAGCATTTACGTTTTTAGTTTATATTTATAAAAATTTTATAAATTAGTTTTTGTTTATTTTTAGAAAAATATAAACTACAAACGCATTTGGTAAATGATAAAATGTTTAAAAAATATAAAAAAAAAAATGAGAAATGGCAAGTGGCAGCGGAAGACGGTGGTGGAAAGTGGTGACGGTGGGTGGTGGGTAACGGGTGTTGGTGGGTGGTGGTGGGTGACGTGGCGAGTGGTGGGTGGCGGTGGCGGATGGCGGGTGGTGGATGATAGTGGCGGGTGGTGGTGGTGAGTGGGTGGGTGGCGGTGACGGGTGGTGGGTGGTAGGAAGTGGGTGGTGGTGGCAGATGGGTGGCGGATGGCGGGTGGGGGGAGGGGTGGGGGGTGGTGGTTGGTAAGGAATGGTGGTGTAGGACTTGGAAGTTTTTCAAGGAAATGAGAGAGATGAAGAGGGATTCTTGTATTCAAGATTGAAGAGCAAATTTTCTAACCTCTATCACCAATGCCACCTACTGGTTATATGGACAAAAAAGGGGGAGTAGAGGAGGGGCAAAGGTGGGGGAAAATTAGGCAAGTTTTCTCTACTTCCAGTTAATGACATTCATTCATACAAGTAAATGAACTCAAGGTAGAGATGAAAGCAAAGGAAGTCCAAATAGTTTTGGTACAACATATTTGAAGTACTCAACATAAACTCAAAATACTATAGATGTGAACAACATTTCTCCCTCAATGAAGTTCTCACAGAACCACAACGATAACTAACATGGGCTTAAAAATGCCCAAAATGACACAATCCCCAATGAAAATTATTAAGACATGATTATTATACTTTGGGTTCCAAGTTGAAACAAGAGAAATTTCCCAAGCTCAAACCCCCTATCACCAATCTCGAATAGCTTTCTTACATTCTGGACTTGGCAATCAGGACACTGCCATCACCCATATCTGTAGCTCCTGTCCTAGTCCACGTCTCTCTGAACTGCTCCTCAGTCACTCCTGAATGAACAAAACATAACAAAATGTATTGCACACTTCATGTTAGCAATATACAATTCATACCAATAAATCCAATACATGATAGATTCGAAAAACCACGCATATTCGAGTGAATTTAAATGAAATCCCATAGGATTAAATGCCTTATGTATTTTATGAATAAAGAAATGTGAGAGATGATGGCCTTGTTTGGTTTGTGTTTCCCAAAAATTTTTGGGAAAAATTCTCTACAAATAAGTTTTTAAAAGTAATCAAACCAAACAAATTTTCCCAAAAAAATTTCCCAAAACTTATTTGGTTTACAAGTTTTCCAAACAAATCTCTCTCTTTTACAAATCAAATCAATCACTTTTTCCAAAACTCTCTCTCAAAATAATTTTCCAAAATATCTTTTGAAAAAAATTAAACCAAATAACTTTTCGTACTTTTATCTCTAAAACTCATCTTCCAAACTTAAACCAAACGTATCCGATGTATGTACATACATATGAGAGTTAAAGATTGAGTAGGGCAGGGCCCACCGCACGTGTTTGGTAAACATTTTTATTTTTACAATCAACAATGATTCATCCCACTAAAAACATCACCACTAATAGCACTAATGCATTAAAAAAGTAAAAAAAAAAAAAAAAAAACACAACTCCAAGATCAAAACATCACATCATTAATGACGGAACCCACTGCCACCTAATTAGTGGGAGCACTAATTAGTGCTCCCAACCATTTTTCTTTTACAATTTTTGTTTTCTAGATAGGGTCACATCTGTTTTGTGTTTAAAAAAAGAAAAAAGAAATATGAAAGACAAGAGGCACGTGATCCTCTGTCCCTTCTTTAAGTCCACCTCTGATCCTAGTACTAATGTGGGTTTTAACAGGAACTTATTGGGGCTTGGTAAATATTATATAAATATATATAGTTTTATTTATTTATTATTATTTTAAAAAGTCATTCAATTATTCTGTGTCAAAATTTTTATATATGGTAAGATCATATTTTTAATGGATCCCATATCAATTGAGAGGATTGTGTATAATTTTATGATTATGTTTTGTGCATTTTTTATGTTTCAAAGAAATTTGCTTAAGTCCACCTTGGTCAAGAAAAAAAGAAAAGTCAATCAAAATGTGAGAAACATCATATGATATTCGAGAGAGAGAATTTTCAATTATAATTAGATTTTATTAAAAGTTACTGATATTTGTTGAAATAAATAAGTATAAATTGAAAATTCTTTGGTGGCGTGGTAGTGCGAAATAACGAAACACTGCAATTCACATCTAATGGAAGAAGTGAAATTTTTTAAATAGATAAGGAGAGTTAATCGTATTTATTATTTTTAAATAGATAAGGAGAGTTAATCATATCTATTTATCATAATTTTTTTTGACCATACGTAATAGATTCATACTTGTTGAATAAGAATGACAACTATGTAAAATTATATCCAAGTAATGATAAACAAAATATAATTATAAAAAAAAAAAAACTTTTTGAAAGGATCACTAATCTTTAACCAATAAAGTAAAAAGGATCACTAATCTTTAACCAATAAAGTGGGATACTTGGATTTATACTCATAAAAAAAAAAATAATAATAATAATTAAAAATTGTTTGATTTTTGATTTTTTTTTTAAATATGAATTAGTTTGATCAAAATATTTTCAAATTTAAAACTTTTATTTATGTTATAAAAAAATCTATATAACAAAGTATGAGGGTTTTTGAATTTTCTACATATTTTTGTCATATTGGGACATTTGGACGGTTCAGATCTGTTCAAAATACAAAATTACGACTGTGATGTATTATACGTGTACATTTTCTACTTTTTCACTTTTTTTTCTTAATTTTTCCTTTTCTCACCCATCCTCTCAAGATCCCATGATCCCACCTTCCACCTTCCTCCCTTTTTTTTATTTTTATTTTTTCCCCCTTTTTTTATTTTCCTCCGTATTTATTTATTTTTTTTGTGTTTTTTCCTTTTTATTCACTTATTTTTATTTACACTGTGTCTTCAAGCATGAGCATACACTAGTACAAAGACATATGAAAATGATGCGTACTTTTTATTTTGATTTTTTTTAGTTTTAAAAAAACTACAAATATATATTTTGAAAATTAAACCAAACATAAACATTTGATTGAATATTTTTTATAAAATAAATAAATAAAAATGGGTTCTTATTTTACCAAGACTCAAAAGATCCACCAATCCGGGGCCGACCCATTAGAGATCCGAATGCAAATGCCCTCCGTGATCCAGCATTTGTAGGTTACA